AGGCCAGCCGCTGACCGGGGATCGCCCCGGAACCCAGGCGCAGAGGTGGCCCTCAGCTGGAGGTCAGTCGCCCGGCCTGGCGGGCAGGGGCACCGGGGAGGCCCGTGCAGGGGGAGCACAGCCCTGCTCACTCCGCCTGCTCTGCCCTTCCCAAGGTCCCCACGGCGCACCGACCGTTTGGAACCTCACAGGTAAGTGCAGGGCGCCCCGGTCTTACGGCTCCTGACTTCCACATTTTCTCTGCCTTCGGGTCTCTTGGACTTCGCCTGCCATTTCCCCAGCCCTGTGTTCACCAAGCTTGGGGTCCCGCATCTGTGTGGGCAGTTACTTGGGGAGTTCCCGTTTAGGACTTCCCAAGGAGGGAGGTGTGGAAGCTTAACCCGGGTGCAGATACCAGCACTTGGAACTGCTTGCAGGGGAATGTGTCCCGGGAACTACAGGTCTCCTGCCTTTCTGATGGCAACAAACTCCGGGAGGGGGAGGCAGGAGGCAGGGCCAGGCTTGGAATGTCACACTGTTAGGTGGAGGCAGCGGGAGGTGGGGTTTAGAGGAGGGAGGTTTTCTACCCAAGTGTTGACGGGTTTTATCTGGTTGCAGAATGGAAAACAGAAGGAATGAATGCAGTGACTGTTGGGAGCACCAGGAGAGCAGGCACCAGTGACACCAGGGTCTGGTGTCCCTTCAGAGTTGAGGAGCTTGGGAGGAGGGTGGACATGGGGGCAGATGTGTGGGACAAGGATTATGGGTCTTCCAGAGTGAGCTGTTCATGATTTCATCAGTGTCTGTCCTGCCAGGGCAGGTGACCTTTCAAGATGTGGCTGTGTACTTCTCTTGGGAGGAATGGGATCTTCTTGATGAGGCTCAGAGACACCTGCACCTCGAGGTGATGCTGGAGAACTTGGCACTTATATCCTCACTGGGTAAGTCCCTGGTATCCACTGTTGTGGCCTGGGCTGCACTGCCTTTCTCCTTTTCCTTGGGAGCCGCTCTGTTCTCCTCTGATCTCATCCCCAGTTCCCTGGGCAGGTGCTGGGACTGAGTGCTTGTCTTCTTCCCTCCTCTTGTGGCCATAATTCCTGCTGCCCCAGAGCATCATGGACAAGGATCAGTAGTCTCAAGTGACCCTATCAGATCCCACCTACTTATCTTCTTCCTGTTTGGTGACTCTCTAGGTCCATGCACGTTCTTTTCTTTTCTTATACCTGACGTTCATCAATGTCTAGTGTGCCGTGAAATATAGTCACTGACATCATCAGTACTTATTTAGCCTGTTTTTACAAGAACTTCCCCAAGGTGTTATTTATTTATTTGAATTGTGGTGAAATATATATGATATTTTATCATTTTAACCATTTTAAGTGTACATTTCATTGGTTTTAAATACTTAAAATTCACATTATTATGTGACTATCACTACCTTTCTTCCATAACTTTTTCATCTTGCAAAGCTAAAACTCTAGTCATTAAGCAATAATTTCCTCCATCTCTTAGCAAGCACCATTCTGCTTTCTTTCTGTGAATTTGACCACTCTAAGTGTCTCAGGTGAGTAGAATCATAAAGTATTTGTTCTTGTGTGGCTAGCTTTTTCAAGGTCCAAGCCAGAATTTCCTTTCAAGACTGAATAGCATTCCCTTGCATGATGTCCTACATGTTGTTTATCCATCTGTCCACCTGTGTGTACTTGGAGCTACTGTGAATGATGCTTCAATGAACACGAGTCTACAGATACCTTTTTATGTACTTGCTTTTAATTCTGTGGACACATAACCAGAGGTGGAATTGCTGGATCATGTACTAATTCTGTTTTTTAAGGCACAACCGTACTGTTTTTGTTGCATCTACCATCCTCTTTCCTTAGCCTCTCCAGCCACTGGGATTACGGGTGTGTGTTAGCATGCCCAGTTATGGGTCTGACTTTATGGAAGCATGACACTATTTTAATTTCTGTAGCTTTGTGATAAGTTTTGTATGTGAGTCCTCCAACTTTGATCTTCAAGGTTGTTTTACCTTATTTGGTGACTCTTGGAAATCCATGTAAATTTTAGGATTTTTTTTTTCTATTTCTGGGGGGAAAATGTCATTGGGATTTTGATAGTATTCATTTTGTAGATCACTTTGGGATGATCAAGTTGGCCAATCCATGAACATTCATGTAAAGCCTTTCTAATTATTATTATTCTTTATTTTCATTTTAGCAATAACATCTCATACTTCCTTGGCTAATTAAATTCCTTAGTATTCTACTCCTTTTTAATACTTCTTTTCCTTTTTTTTTCCTGCTAGCTTTGGCTTTAGTTTATTGTTTTTGTTTTGTTTTTATGGTAATGGAGATTGAACCCAGGGTGCCCTGAACAATGTCCTCAGCCATTTGAGACAGTGTCTTGCTAAGTCACCCAGGCTGGCCTAAATTTGCAGTCTTCCTGCCTCAGCCTCTTGAGTTGCTGGGATTACACGCGTGTGCCATCTCCAGGCTTGTACTTCTTTTTGAAGTTCCTTAAGATGTCAAAGTAGGCTGATAAGTAGAGATCTTTCTTCTTTTTTAATATAAGTAGTTATGCCGTATGTTTCCCCCTTATTACTGTTTTTGTTGCATCCCATAAATTTGTGTAAATTATGTTTTTATTTCCTATTTCTTCTCTGTTGCATTGGTTTAAGATCTAAGATCATGTTGTTTAATTTCCACACATTTGTAAATTTTCCAGTTTTCCTTCTGTTGTTTCCAGCTTCATCCCATTGGATTGGAGAATATTCTTTGTATGATGCCCTCTGTCTGTTTAAATCTAGGCAGGCTTAGTTTACCTCCTAACCCAGTCTGTCCTGGGGAATGCCTCGGGTGCACTTGAGAAGTGTGTTCCTTCTTGTTGGGCAGATACTTCTGTGTGGTTGTTAGGTCTAGTTGGGTTATTGGGCTGTTCAGGTCCTCATTTCTTTCTTCCCTGGTTAGTCTGTTGTTGAGATTTGGGTGTAAATGTTTCCAACTGTTGTTATAAAACTGTTTATTATTGTAAAACTATCTTCCCCCCTTCAGGTTTTATTTTTTACTTTATGTATATGTGGTGCTGAGGATTGAACCCAGGGCCTCACACAGCCAGCTACCACTGAGCCACAACCCCAGTCCCTCTCCCTTCAGTTTTGATGGTCTGTTGTCTTTTGCTCAGAACGTCTCATCTACTTATGTTTAGAATAATCACTGACAAGAGGGACTGGCTTTGTCATTTTGCCATTTGTTCTCTATATGCCTCATAGCTTTTTGTTTCCAATTTCCTACATTGATTTTGTGTTCAATTGATTTTTATAGTAAACTTTAATTCCTTGTCATTTCTTTTATGTACTTCTATGGCTATTTATTTACCTGTGTGTAGTTACCATGGAGATTGCATTTAACATTGTAGTACAGTATTTGAATTTATACCACGTAACTTCCTTACTTTTTTGTGTTCTGCCATTTACTGAATTGTTCTGGGCCTGTGTTAGCTGCTCACATGTCCTGCTCTTCCTTTATCCTCCTGGTCCCATGCAGTTCCTCACCTGGGGTTAGTGAAAGAGCCTCCATGCTTCCCAGGATGTTCGTGACCCCAGTCTTAGTAGGATGGGTTCAGAGAGGGCCTGGACAAAGGGAAGGGATGGCATTGGGGTTACACACAGGTCACGCTAGGAGCCTACCTGTTCAGCCCTTGTCTTTATGTCATTGCTTGTGGCAGCTTGCTTTTACCTTCCCTTGTATATTCTTGACATTTTACCATCTTTTCCATTCTACAATCCAGCCCAGTGCAAATCCCTTTGTCTCTGGACTCACACTGCCTCCTGAGTGTCTTCTGATGTTGTGGTCTGAGTGTACATGTATCCTTTAACAGAGCCTGAGCCAGTTACTGTTCCAGTCAGTTCTTCTGGGTCTAGAGGTCCCTTCATAGCACCACATGTCACCAGCAGGTATGGTCCTGCTAGAAGTCATTGACAAAGGGATGAGGTGTAAAACATGCCTCTCACCCTAAGTGCTCAGCTGGTAAGGCCTATTCCACTGGGGGACTTTGGGGTCCAGGAATGCATAGCAGCTGCTTCCTCGACCTGAAAACAGTTGCATAGACTGGTTCTTTGCTTGTTGGATGAACATTGGTGATTCATGGCCACATCCTAATTAAGGCAGCATGTCCTTCACCATTACTCCTCTGATGTCTGCTTTCAGGTTGTTTGCATGGAGTAGAGCATGAGGAAACACCTTCTGAACCAAGCATTTCTGAAGGATTGTCACATGTCATGACTCACAGAGAGGGGTCGTCATCCCAGCATGCCTACACCTGTGAAATATGTGGCCTGGTCTTGAGAAACATTTTGCAGTTGGCTCAGCACCACAGAACAACACATCCCGGGCAGAAGCCACGCACATGTGGAAGACAATGCTATTTTGCTGCAAATCTTCAACAACATCAGAGGCAGCACATTAAAGAGGTTCCCTTCAGAGGTGACATTGACAGAACCTTGTTTATAAAGAGCTGCATGATCCATGTGTCAGGGAGGCCTTATACTTGCAAAGAGGTGGGGAAGGGTTTTCTGGCCAGCATGGGATTTCCCCATCAAGAGGGCACTCATACAGTGGAGAAACCAAATGCCAGTTACAAGTGTGGGGTGGCCTTTCACAATGGAAAAAGTCTTCCCAACTGGGGGGGATGCAAGAAAGCTTTTAGCCACACAGATACACTCGTTCAGTACCGGAGGGCACTCACAAGTGAAGGCCTTTTTGAGTGCAGCAAGTGTGGGAAAGCCTGTACTCGGAGATGTAATCTCATTCAGCACCAGAAAGTCCACAGTGAAGACAGGCCTTATGAATGCAGTGATTGTGGGAAATTCTTCACCTACTACTCGAGCTTCATTATCCACCAGAGAGTGCACACTGGAGAAAGGCCTTATGAGTGCAGTGAATGTGGGAAAGCCTTCAGTCAGATCTACAGCCTCAACAGCCATAGGAAAGTCCACACCGGAGAGAGGCCTTATGAGTGTGGGGAATGTGGGAAATTCTTCAGCCAAAGGTCCAACCTCATTCAACATCAAAGAGTTCACACTGGAGAAAGACCTTATGAGTGCAGTGAATGTGGGAAATCCTTTAGCCAAAACTTCAGCCTCATTTACCACCAGAGAGTTCACACCGGAGAAAGGCCTCATGAGTGCAGTGAGTGTGGGAAATCCTTTAGCCGAAGTTCCAGCCTCATTCACCACCGGAGACTTCACACTGGAGAAAGGCCCTATGAGTGCAGTAAATGTGGGAAATCCTTTAAGCAAAGCTCCAGCTTCAGTTCACATCGGAAAGTCCACACAGGAGAAAGGCCTTATGTATGTGAGGAGTGTGGGAAATCCTTCAGCCACAGCTCCAACCTTAAGAACCATCAGAGGGTTCACACTGGAGAAAGGCCTATTGAGTGTAGTGAATGTGGGAAATCCTTTAGCTGCAAATCTAACCTCATTAAACACCTGAGGGTTCACACTGGAGAAAGGCCTTATAAGTGTAGTGAATGTGGGAAATCTTTCAGCCAAAGCTCCAGCCTCATCCAACACCAGAGAATTCACACTGGAAAAAGGCCTTATCAGTGCAGTGAATGTGGGAAATCCTTTGGCTGCAAATCTGTCCTCGTTCAGCACCAGAGAGTTCACAGTGGAGAAAGGTCTTAGCTATATAGGGAATATGCACTTTTTCTTAGTGGAATCATTGGAGGAGACCACCTATAAGAGCAGCCTACCTGGATTGAAGCCCAGCAACTGAAGGTGCATGGCAGAGATTCCCTTAAGTCCAGGTTTGTGGAAGCTCCAAGGATCTGAGTTACAGTTCCTAGCGTCCATAACCCTTGCAGTTTAGGTTACTGACAGTTTCTGAGACAGAAGCCATTTCACTGCCACTTGCTAAGTCCAGCTGTGTCACGTCACCACGCCACCATATTCAGGGAAGAAGATCTGTGTTCTCCCATTGCTGGAGGAAATGAGTAGTCTGAGCCCACATTCCCTTCTCCAAAAAGCTGGGGCATGAACCTGACCCAGTTTTGTACCAGAGATCCTGATAGAAGTAAACTCTTTCAGGGACACATTTCTTGTGACGATGTTGGGGTTTTTTGTTTGGGTTTTTTTCCCACAACCTCTAAGACACTAACCTGGGAACTACTTGCCTCACTTTTGTTTTGAGGACTGTTATTTATTGTCTGAAGCACCTGTAATCTTGGGATTCTGTTCACTGTGTGAGATGGCTTAAAAATAGGATTGGTCCCAGCCAGCATTAAACAGCTGTGGTGTTTGGGGGTGGCACAGGGAGGTCACATAATTCCAAGCCTCAGAGACATTGGTTTAATAGAAGAATGCGACTCTCTTCCCAGTTTTGTCCTAATATGAATTGTTGCCCGAGGCCCCCTAGGAGCTTCAGGGCTTTATGGTCCTACTTTGTGGAGGATATGCAGGATGTTTTGTGGGCTGGGGTCACCTTGAGGCAGGAAGTTCTGACAACTCCCAGTGCTGCCCGGAGCAGCGTGAACTGTGGCACAAGACATCACGTGATGCCTAGCACCGTGGGGGCCGACTGCAGAGTCGAGTACCTGATCCCCGGCATTCTGTGGGCTTGAGCCTGGGGAAACTGTGATTGGGACAGAAACACTGGGTTCACAGGACTTGGAGGAGATCGCAGCAAACTAGATTCTAGTGATGGTGTAGGTTTGAGGTGTGCACAGATTCTCACAGTCTCCAGGGATGTGCACCTTCATATCTGCGGTCATTGTCAGAAAAAAAAAAAAGTTTTGTGTGTTCCACTCAGGTAGCCTTTCTGGAATGTTCCCTAAAGGCCAGGAAAACAAGCATGGAGGGAAGGGAGATCCCCACTCTAGCAAGGTGGTTTTGTGACCAGCCACCATCCTGTGTAGAAGTGAACATCACTGGTCACTAATATTTTCTGCCACTGAGGCAAGGTTGTCCCCATAAGGTCATCGAGAAGGAGGAGGAGTTCATGTGGAGTTACCAGACCTCACAATCAACCCTAGACTCACTGCAGTTATTACATGAACGCTCTGCACCCTGACCTACCTCATGCCCTTCGTTGGCCCATCCCATCCCTGGCTGCCAGGCCACCTTTACTCTGTCTTCCCCGATGGCTTAGATTGTGTTAGCAGGACGTGGATGACTTGATTCACAAAATGTTTATTTTTCTAGTTTCATTCATGATTATTATTTTGATTCTTCTATTCTGTGAGCTGTTCATTTTTATTGCATTTGTCCATTCCTTTAGGTTATTTCTGGGTTCTGGCTAATGCCGAAACAGTGAAGCTGCTACAGCATGTGCAGTTCTTCACATATTTATGTCAGCTACTTTGGGGTCAGTGACTCAGGTGCAAAGCTGAGACACAGGGCAGGCGACAGTCAGCTTGTTAAGAAACCACCAGGCTGTGAGCGGGGGGCCTGTTGGGCCTGTGGGGATTTTGGTTCTTCTACGTCCTTGCCGATATTCAGTGTGGTCTGGATTTACTACATCAATAGATGAGTAGTTTTAACTGCTTTTCCTTAAGCATTCATAATGCTGGACCCTTTTTCATGGATTTGTGACCCGTATCTATTCTTTGGTAAGATTCTGTTCATATCTTTTGCCTGTTTTCTTTGTTATGAAAGAAGAAACATGAACAGTTATTAATTCTGTTTTACTTTTCATTAACAAGCAGCTAATTTTTGTCCCACAATTTTTTCCTGCCACACAGTGAACGACCACCTACATCACACACTTCTAAAATCTGTGTTATTCAGCTGTTTTCTGTCATGTCAGTCTAGACAACTCTGTGGTGCCATAAACCAAGCCATGGTTGGAAGTGTTTGGCCTCCAGTCATGGCTGTTTTCAAACTCCAACTGCAGTCACTGGACAGGAGCCAACCGGGAAGGGCTGCCAGGGACGTGCCTGCCACTCTGTCCCACCCCACCGCAGCTCCAGTAGCTGCCTGTGCCCTCTGAGATCCAGTGAGGAACAGGGAAGTGATTAGCAAGGGGCAAGTTTTAAAAACTGTAATGCTTGTATAATTGACAAAGCATAAACATTTGAAATGTGTTTGGACGTTTTGCTGTTTATGCCTGAAATTTTAAAAATCCATTGAAGGGCTGGGGTTGTGGCTCAAGCAGTAGCACGCTTGCCTGGCATGTGTGGGGCGCTGGATTCGATCCTCAACACCACATAAAAAATAAAGACATTGTGTCTACCTAAAACTAAAAAAAAAAAATTTAAAATATCTGTTGAAAGCAAAATGTGTGATATTGGCGGTGATTCAGTTAGATTGTTTGTAATTCAATCCTTTCTTGAAAAGAAAATCATAAACTTAAGCCAGGTGGATGCCTATCAGAGGCTAAGGCAGGCGGATTGCAAGTTCAAAGCCAGCCTCAGCAACTTAGTGAGACCCTGTCTCAAATAAAAGAAACTGGGGTTGTAGTTTAGGAGTAGAGTGCCCCTGGGTCCAATCCCTAGGAAAGGAAGGAAGGAAATCAAACTTTGAAGGTATTTTCCTCACAAAGGATTGCAAAGAGTGATCCAAGTTGCAGTCAGATGGGATTGAGTTGCTTGGAGTGCTGTTACATAGTGGGTGTAATTGTATACTGCATATTCAAAAAGCTAGAAAAAGGGATTTTGAATGATTTCATCAAAAAATGATAGATGATGGCTGGGGCATGGTAGCACACACCTGTAATTCCAGCTTCAGAGGCTGAGGCAGGAGGATTGCCAGTTCAAAGCCAGCCTTAGCAAAAGCAAGGGCCTAAGCAACTCAGCAAGACCCTGTCTGTAAATAAAATATAAAAAGGGCTGAGGATGTGGCTCAGGGGTTAAGCACTCCTGAGTTCAATCCCCAGTACCCCCCTAAAAAATGTTGTGATAAATGAAGTCATTATGATTCCACATGTATACATTTATTGGAATATCACACAGCATCCCGTGAAGATGTACAATTTTTGTGTTTTTTACATCAGTTTAAAGTAAATAAAGGGTCTTTAAAGAATGTTATTAATATATTAATAAGATTTATTTGGAGTCAAAAGTCCATTCTTATATGAGTCTTGGAATTTTGTTTTGTTTTTGTTGACTGAAGAGCCTTAAAATAATCTAACAATTCAGTTTGAGGTTCTATAAAGTGATGAGGATTTCCATAGATTTGGAACACTCAGGGGGCATGTTTATAAAGCACTGTACCCTTGACTGTACCATCACATTTACAAACAACACCAGCCCCTAGGTCCCAGTGGCTGCCAGTGTGTATACATTAGGATTTATTGATAACCGCATCACAGCTGCCCACACTTTATATTGGTACATTCTGTAATCCCAGAAAATGAATAGCCTAAGTATTTGGGGGAGAAACATTGCTCCCTGTTGTCATGTGACCTGGTGGAGCAGAGGGTCGGGGCTGTGTGAAGCCTCTTACAAGCCCTTGGCCCCTTCCTGAGGGAGGGCACTTCCCGATCCGCAGGTCTCCTGAAGCAGCCCCCCAGCACGTGGGTGGTGGACATTCACTTCCAACTTAAATTCTGAAGGCACAGCATCAAACCCAGCAGCACCCAGTAAAGAAACGGCTGAGCGAGGTCACAAACAGGGCTGTTTAGGTGACTCTGCTTCTCTTCTGCCCAGGACATGCCAGGGTCCTGGATCATGTTGTACCAAAGAACCTGGGTCTTGAAAACCACCCTCGTTCTGGGTGGAGGGTGCATGTCTGTAATCCCAGTGACTCCCAGTGGAGGCTGAGGCAGGAGGATGGCAAGTTCCAGGCACCCCAGGCAACTTTGCAAGGCCCTGAGCAACTGAGACCTGTCTCAAAATAAAAAGGGCTGGGGATGTGACTCGATGCTTAAGCACAACTGGGTTCCATCCCCAGTAAAGTCGGGGATGGGTGTGGGAATCAATCCCAGCATAGAATACAGAGATGGGATTGTGACAGTATTTGTTTTTAATTTGTGGGTCCTAGCTAGGCGTGGTGCACACGCCTGTAATCCCATCAACCCACAGGCTGAGGCAGGAGGATTCCAAGTTCAAAGCCAGCCTCAGCAACTTAGCAAGAC